AACAAAAAGTAATTTTGTTTTGCTCCAGCCTTGACTTCCATATAGAGAAGGTCTTTTTTTCTTCAAAGAAGGCTAAACATTGTACTGTAAATACTAAATTCTCTTTTATTTTACACCATGAGCAGAATTTTTTTCATAGAAAACTTTGTATGACATCCAAATAGTGTCCTGAATTCTGTGAAAAGATGTATTGTAAAATCTTACTGACTGTTGTGTGTAATAGACAAAAAGTAACTTAGTAAGGTATATCACAAGTGATACCTGTCAGGGGCCATAGAAGTGTTCGTGAATGGGAGGGGGAGTTGTTGTCCTAAGAGTAGTACCGTAATCTCCTGTGTTTGCATATCCAGATTATGAAAATAATACACAAAGCAGGATGCTAAAAATACTTGTTTAGGGACATAACTGAGTAAACCTCTAAGACAGCTCTAAAACTTGCTATCATGGTTAGTTACCTTGTTATCTTACACCTCCAGAACTTGATTTTTATTTTTGCTTGTCAGATAATTATTTCATTTCTGTATGGGTAAGACCAAGTAAATATTAGTTGATATTTAGAATAGTGAGACAACTTGAAATCAAAGGAGAATGCTTGGCAGGATTTGAAGTCACATTTAAGATTCTACCTGTAGAGGAATCTGAGTCGTCTGTTAGGACTTGTTACATGCCGTTGTCCCAAATGTAGCTCCTCATACTTGTAAGGTGGGGACTAAATGAGGCTTACAGACTGACTTAAGGGTGACTCCTGCACTCAGAACTGTTTTTTCTGGGGATATTCTTAAAGTAATTTTAAAGATGAAAGTTAAGGGGTTTTCTTTTAAAAAATGCTTTCTAACTTGAAGAATATCAGCTTAAAGTTTTACATGAGATTTAACTTCAGGTGTGCTTCCATTTTTATGAACAAATACAATCTTTAGTCTATGCATATTATGTTGTGTGGAAAGTTTTAGTGTGCCCAATTTATCAATGAAAATAAAGTTCACTGAGATCTATAAAATTCCTAGTAAAATAGAATGTTTAAATTAAAATTATATATGTTGTTTCCTTTGATTTTTGGATAGGAGCGTGACTTTCCTACAGAGATGGTTAAGTTTGGACCTGAGCGCATGTATATTGACTGCTGGGTTAAAAAACAAACTTACGATACATTCAAGGAGATCCTGGGGTCGGGAATGCAATATCATTTGCAGGTGAGCTGGTCTTTGACACATGCTTAGACTGTTCTTTACTATCTGGCTTCTTTGATGTAATTCAGATTGAACTACAAAATCCTGAGTAGAACTCAGTGAAATGATGAGCTTTACATTTGAAGTGTTAAAAGATAGCATTTAAAGAATTAACTGCAGTGAGCCAGAACTGTCTGGCTGAGCTGTAGCTGGGTTAGCAGTTGACTTCTCCAAGAAGTAAGAGATTTAAGCTGGATATCTTTATAGCTTCAGAGTTTTCACTGAATCCTTATGGTTTCTTTCAGCAGAGTGGTGTGGTCATCTGGCTGCTATAAAGCTGCATGCCTCCACCCTTCCCTTTTGAGCCTGTAGAAGGAAGGCAAAGTTTCAGTCAAAAATAGTGAACACAATTTGCACCCCAATGATGAGAGCATTCCAGAAGAGAAGAGATAAGTCCTTATCTCTCTTCTGGGAACTGCTTGTTTACTAGTCATCTGTTTACAGTTCCTGTTTCTGCTACATATGTACCTTAGGAATATATGCTCCCAAACTGCTCTGATAATCATGGGGTTAAAGTTCTTGGTCCAGTGTCAATTGCATTTTTATGTGACTTGTAGCAGGCATGTAGCAGCTTTTTCAGTTTTTTCAAATACTACTTTTATTTTAAAACTGCTGTGTTGCAAAAACATTGATCTGTGTTCAGCTGCCTGATCTTGTGTAGAACAGAAAAGTTGCCTCATTTGCTGGGACAAAAAAAATCAATAGAGGCAGGGGGAGTTCTCTCTGTCTTCTCAAGGGGGCAGTTTTTGTTCTTAGCCTTATTCTGATTGAAAGAGGAAATGCTCTTGACGTAATTGCAAAAAATAACAGCAAGTTGACACGAATCCTACTATTTCTTACTGGAATACTTCATATTTAACAGTAGTCAACTTTGGAGACTTGATAATTAGAGGAGAAATTGATTGTTTGTGTTTCTTGTTTAGTCAAATGACTTTCTTCGGAATGTGTTTGAGCTTGGTCCACCAGTAATGCTAGATGCTGCGACTCTTAAAACAATGAAGATATCCCGTTTTGAAAGGGTAGGTTATTGCACCTTAATGAATTTTCTTTGCTTCATACACTAATACATTTCTTCTGCACTTCAGAAGCTGTTATCGTTAAACTTGTTGCTTTAGTTCTATCGATGCCTCATTGTCCTGAATGAAACCCAACCTTGATTGTATGTGCCTCTGAGCTCTTAGTTAGGTTTTTCCACTGGGCATGTGTCTGCTACTGCTTCTCCCAAGGGTCTGAAGGTTCACGTGGTTGCTGTTTGGTACCAGATTCACACTCCACACATGTGAAACTTGGTCTCTTTTGACAGCTGTAGGTTTTCAGGGAGGGACCCACGGGAAACCATGGAAACAGAGTCTTTATAAAAAGACAGTATCTCAAACTCTGCAGTGTAAAATGGGCACTAGGAGGATGACTTTGGTCTATTGCTTGTGAATGTACTCATCCTCATATAATGTACTCATATAATTTGAGCAATGGTGCTACCAGGTTTAATCTGGGGGTGAATTTAACCTACATTGTGTCTGTATGATGTTCAAAACTGGCAGGCTTCCAGAATTCCTTGTAGCTCAGCCTTTCTTATACAAACCAAGTTTCTTTTAAATGTATATATATGTATGAAAATTAATCAGCCTTTGGTGCAAGGGTAGTATGCTATAAATTTCTGAAAGTCTACCAATTTACTTCAAAAATTAATAAAAAGATATTTCCATCTGTTTTGTAACATGAAAAATCTCTGAAGAGCATAAGCCTTATGAACATCTGTAATAAATTTTTCTTTTTTTATTTTGTAGCACTTGTACAACTCTGCAGCATTCAAGGCTCGGACAAAGGCTAGAAGTAAATGTCGTGATAAAAGAGCAGATGTGGGGGAATTTTTCTAGATCTCATTTTCAATGGGGTTCAATTTTCATAAGTAAAATAAATTTGTAACATTTAAATGAATTTTTAACTTCTGTAGTCATAGTTTGCACTTGTGCACAACGATGTTATGTAAAGTCTGTAAATATAATAATGCATGTTGTTGCTTAGTTGCATATACACTGTATATATATTGATGTAACATTTGGAGCAGGGATACATTATAACATTTGCATTAGCCACCAGTTGCTCCAAAGGTTGAATATATTTTAACTGAAATGTTAAATGGGGTGGATAACTGTAGTCAGATTGGATTCTTCATATAAAAGTAAATTACTTTATGGATCAAGTGTTTTGGTAAGAAGGTGCTAATATGAAAAGATAACCATATTTGTGTGAAATTGAGTAACTTTTTAACTCTTCGGTGGCAGGTGGACAAAGAAATTTTTATGTTTCTATGACTTTATCCTGACAGGAACTATGAAGTTTAATAACCTCTACTGACAGTCAAGTAGTGAATGACAAATACTTGCCTCAATTTAAAACAAAAGCAAGATTTTTGTGTTCTGAAATTGGATATTTAATTTTTGCAATAAAGATGTTTCTCACTGGTTGCGCTCTGTGTAAAAGTGATTATTTCATGATTGAAAAGCTGCAACAACAGCAAAATCTAAAGACTGAAACAGATGGGTTTGGTTTTTTGCCCATTCAGACATGGTTGTGTTAGTCTCAGAGGTTTAGTAGATGCTACATGACGGTCTTTCTCGCTGTGTTTCAAAGGTGTATCTTACTTGCATGTGGTCTTGCACAACAGCCTACTCCTGATTTGTCACTGTTTTTGTAATAGTCAAATGTTTTCTAGTTCTGGTGTTGCAAAACACCTTGTCCCTTATCTTACAGGAGGCCCTTCCAGCTCCCCTGTGTTTGTAATGTTGAAAGCTATTCCTTTACTACATTCTCAAAATGGTAGGTCAGGCTATCAGCAGAGGAAGTAGACCTTGCATCAAAAAACCTCACCAGCTCCTGAGAACTGCTGCTTCCTCTGATAAGGGAAAGTTTGGTTTGGGGTGGGGTGGTTTGTTGGTTAGTTGGTTGGTTTGGGGTTTGTTTTTTTTCATAGGGGTTTGGGTTTTTTTGTTTGTTTGTCCCCCCTCCTTCAAGTTTCTGGTTACAGCAGAACCTATTCCAGAAAATTTATATAGACAAATGAGTTTTACCTTCTAAGTTATCCTTTTTTCCCCTCAAATAATCAATTAGGTAACAACTTGTTTGGCTTACAAAACTGATCACTGACTCCAAATCAAGGTCTTCAACTGAAATCTGCAGTATGATGAATATGTGTTGTCAGTGTCACACAAGTGAAGAAGAAACTTCTGATCCTTGAACTAGAAGCAGCTGTCTGCTTGTGTGTGCCCAGACCAAGTCTGTCCCCTTTGAGTTAAACTGTTCCCTGGCCTCTCCTGTGGCTTCTGGGTAGTCACCTTTGGCATCCTTTGCCCATGTAAAGGAACACTCTTGAATAGTTTCCTGTCCAGTATTTCTACAGCACTTCCTGGCAGGTGGCCAAGCATGTAGTTGCCCTTTCCCCTGTTACATGGTAGCTGCCAACCATAGTGACCAGGATGGCTTCCAGGAGATGGAGGACAGACAGGCTGCTTTGCTGCCCTGCAGAGATCGGATGGGTTTGTAGACCTTTTCAAGCTTAAAACTGGAGAGGCCTGGGTCCTTGTCTTACAGTTATGTTGGTGTCAGGACTTTGGGGAATGGAAGTGAGGGGGGTTTTTTCTGGCTTGCAGATCCTTATTTAGAGGAAGGACTCCCACACAAAAGTAGTGAGCTGTTACATTTGTGTTGCTGGCCCAGCTACTCAGACTGGGCATTGGCAGAGCTTCACAGTAGGAGCTATAAGTCAGGTTTATTCTCTCGGTTTCCTGAAAGATCTGTTTATTGTCAGTTTAAAGGAGTTCAGAATTTTAGACATAGAATGACTTCAGAAAGGATTTATTATTTTGAGCTGCAGTCCCTCTGTGTAAGCATCAGCTGCCTGTCAGTGCAGCGTGCTGTAACATTACCTTCTGCAACATCAGCAAGGAAAAAAGTGATCAAAAGAACTGTTGGCAAAGGAGCAATTACAGTACTTACCAACAGTTCCTCAGAATTTAATCTCTAAACAACTAAGGACGGCATATAAATTGGTCCACCCCGTGATAATGTCCCACTTGAATTTGTAAGGCGTATGGGAGAAGGAGGAAAAGACCTTGGTTTTTCTAATATATGCCTTTAAAATACTCATGACTACAATACTGTAGATATGACTCTTCTGCATAGCAAACTGGTTGCTCATAGCTACAGTGTCATAGATATGACTCTTCTGCATAGCAAATGAGTTTTAAACAGGCATTAAACCTAAAAGGTTTGGCACTAACTGAAAGGTCAGTGAAATATTGATCATTAGTAACAAACCTCATTCTCCATGACAGGATATTATCACGACTCCAATATAATAAAAAAGAGCTGTGTATGTGCTGATTTCTTTTTTAGCAGTTCTATATTGTGAAGTCAGTACACTTAGCCAAGCTGAATGCTAAATATAGACTGAAAGGGGCAGTCTTTCATAGCTGTCTTTATGGGTCCTGCAGGACTCAACAGGTTCCTATGGGTCTAAAAGTAGAGAGAAGAACTGCAGAACAAGTTTTCTTCATGTGATTTTCACTGGCTGATTTCTTCCATACTGGCACATTAACTGAATATAATTATGTTGTAAGTAATGTTTCATTCTGCTGGTTTTTAACCTTTTAGATTTTATTTAGTTTTTTTTCTGTGAAGAATTTTCAGTGTGTTCTCTTTCTACATTCTAATTTTACCACAACAACTTAAAAAGAAATTTAAAAGTCAGACTGGAGAAAAAGTCTTTAAGTACAAGATAAAGTGAATCTCAAAACCTCAGTGTTTACATTAGTTTGTTGGGGAAATAATGAATACTTTTGGCCAGCAACACTGATGTCTGTATCCTTTCTCCTTTGTTTGCCATGTCAGTGGAATCAAACAAATGTAATATAAACTTTGTTGCATTAGTAATGGTTATCTTCCCTGTGGTTACATGCACAAATGCTTAAAAAATAACAGTAAATGCAGAAACATATAATTCATACCACTAATGAATCTTATTACAGCTCAAGTTGTTAAGAAGAGTCTTCCCTGAAGTTGCAGGGAGGTACTAATCAGAATACCCAAGAGAAACAACTGCTCTTCAGAAGCTAAAAATAACCAAAAGCCTTTGTGCATGAGGTGGTAACTTTCAGCATGCTGTTCAAATGCAGGGCTCTGTAGTGATTGCAGTTGGCTACGGATGTGCACGCGAGGAGAGAGCAGAGCAGAGCCAGTGCTGGGGGGAACGTGGTTCACAGACTGTGCTGCCTGGCACCACGTAATGTTCTAGAGGAAGGACAGTGGGCACAGCCATCTGTCCTGAAGTTACTGCTGCACACCTAAACGTCATACGCTAGGTAAGGCTAACCCCTACTATGCCAGCTTTTCTACCTTTTCTTTATATTTTGAAGCAACAGGTCTGAGCAGAGTAAAAAATAAGCTGTAATATTTTCTTACATGCTATTAAACAGAAATATGAAAATATCCATGTAGTCCTGTCAACCTCCACTAGCAGAAGAACAAGCCTCATTGTCAAGAGCGCTTTAAGTTCTTAGTCTTTAGACTTATTGAGGCAAACACTCAGGGCTTTATTCCTCAGACTTTAGGTTTTTAATTAGGAAAATTAAAATATAGTTGCTATATTAGGAATCTGGTCACACTGTGTTCTGTATTGTTCAGAGAAGGAAAGAAAGCTCAGAAGCACATCAGGAGGGCAGTTCAACCCATCTAGGATTCAGAAATCACCCTTAGGTGCTTAACAGCCTTCATCAATAAGAGATTTGCATCCCATGAAGTGCTGATTTATGTTGGCAGGTAAAACTGAACTTGGGAGCTTTGATGAAATACTAAATGGTAAGATGTATTCTACTCCAAATCTAAACTAATCTCTGTGAGCTCCCCCTCTTATGTTCACGGGCAAGAAAAAAGTACATTTAGGCTGCAATTCTAAGTTCAAAAAGATGTATCTTAGAATAAGAGAAATATTACCTGGAGGAATGTATTTTTCTTCAATAATTACAAAGGGAGTTTTCAGTGACAAGTGTAGTCAAACCTGCCTACTTAGAGCATCTGCATCTCCTTATGGCTAGAACTGTAGTTTGTTTCTAGAAGGCATTTTTGGAATCAGAGGCATAAAGAAAACCAAAAGACTGATAAGGAATAATGTGCAATTCACAGAGGAGCCTCCTTAGGTATTGCTTCTTTTCTATATATATTATTCCTTCAAAACTGTATTTGTATAAAAAAATCATTCACTGAGTTCATGCACCCAGACTCTACAGAGAAACTGTTTTTGCAGTTTGGGCCTCATCCAGTGTTTTTTTTAAAGCAAGGAGTATTAGTCTGAAGAAAAGGCTTTGCTATCAACCTTTATTTTGTCCAGAATTTGTCCAGTCTAGAAGACTAATTTTTCTGTTCCATTTTTCACAAATAATAACTTCACAGTATTATTCTAAGGTGTATAAGCAGACAGGTATTCTTGCTGCTTATCTCGTATACCTATACCTGATTTCTCTGTCTTATCTCTAAATTATTTGATGCTGAAAGCAGAGGACCTGAGTGACATCCTTCCTGTCAGTGTTAGTGAAGGTTTGTCTTTCACTGTTGTCAGAATCTCACCCTACCTCTTACCTCACCAAACCAAAGGGTTATACAACTGAGTGAGTACCATTCAAATCAATGCTGGAGCCAATCAGGCTGATTTTTCTCTCTCTTTCCCCACACACATGCATATGTGTGTGTATGCATAAGTATACACATGTACACAAGCACCATGTAGAAATTAAATGTTATATTCAGCGATCTCCAAGAATAAACAAGTGCTATGTACTGAGTTATCCTTGCCTTCAAGTAAGTGTGCTGGTCCTTCAAATTCCTTTATTTTAAGGGTTGTTTAGGCTGCTCAGTGTTTCCTTAGAACAGGACACCAACTGTTACCAGTTATTTCCCATATCCATGTGTTAAATTACCTTTTAAATTATTATTTACCTTAGATACAATGGAGAGGCCTTCCTTGGAAATTAACCTGCCTGATACACATGAAGAAGGAAAGCTTTATGTAGTTGATTCCTTAAACAACCTAAACAAGCTAAATGTTTGTCCAGATGAATCCCAGCATTCACTAGGTAGGTATGATAGGTTATGCTCTAAGGTTTTCCATATGCACAATCCACATTATGTGTCACTGATGACAACAGGCCAATATGTATGTCAAGCTCTTTACTGAAAAAAATGTAAGAAAAAGATTGAAAATGGCCTAATTTAGACAGATCAGATAATGATTTAGCTATCCCTGCTGAGTATTTAAGTTATTAGGTTCTTGAAAATCCTTGCATTTTGCTAGGGATTCACTGTCAAGCCTGAACTTATTTTCCATCTCCACTGGGGTTTATGAGGTGATCCCTTGCAGGATAATGTCTCTAGTAATGCTCAACATACACCTACTACATAAATAGCACTGTAACTCTTTCCAAGCACTAAAATTCACACATGGCAATAGAAGTACCAGAGAATTTCTGTTCATTCCATTAAGACACATCTCCTAGAGACTCAGACCAGTTATCTGAAATATCCCATGACACTTTTAAGCATTTTACTTCGCAGACTTTCTTGACTTACAGTTTCAGATATGGCTCCTACACTTCTACTGGTTTAATATTATTTATTGAATTAATTAACAAGAATATTTTCACTCGTGATAACTACAATAACTACAATATATTTCAGGTCTTTGTGACCTGAAAATATCTTAAAACCTGGAGCTCTTCAGCAGCATTCCACATAACAATATTTGAATCTGCTTTTATTTCCCTTATTATAATGGCAAATTTGGCTGAAGAAATCTAGATATCAACAATTATGAAATTAGTTTCAAATGGCCATAACTTAATCATGCTTCTTGTTATGGGACTTAAATGCCTTCTCCTTACATCTGTTTCCAAGTCCTCTATATTTTCCTAATGCAACTAACTAGAGTGGTGTTGGTTTCTGCATTTAATGCAAATATGTTAGACATAAAGTACTTAATTCTCATATGCAGATTATCTTGGTATTGACACTCTGTATGTAAAAAATGAGACAATGGCATACCTTGGTTTTAATGTCAAAGAAACTCCTTTTGGTGTAACTGTTTCACTCTCTTTTGCAATTTTTATTGGACAGTATTGTTTACTTTTCAGGTAAATATACAAGGTTCTGTGGAATCATATAGGGTTCTCTGGAATAATCACATGCATGCTCCTCCCTATATTTCAGCAGTAAATAAAGGTAGCCTAATATGTATTTTATTCATAAATTTGTAAAGTGCTTTGGTTCCTTCTAGGATTATTCTTTTAAAATACTTTTTAAGCTTGGAGATTCTGTAGATATCTTATCCCAACAATTAAATACATAAAATCACTTTTTCACAGTCCTTACCTGCCTTATTCAGCAGCATAAAATTCTGGTTCTCTTGCCAGAAAATCAGAGAGATGTAAAAAGCTATTTAAACTGTATATACGTTTTGACTGCATCAGTAAGAGCAAACCAGTAATTTCTTTATGTTTTAGATGATTAAATGTTCCCACTGTTTGCTGTTTGGCAAGAATGTGTGTTCACCAATTCCACACAACACTGCAGTCTGGGATGTTCAGCCTGATGAAATAGTAAGAAGCACTCATTAGGCAGAGCTTAGACCATTTTTGAGACCTGATAACTTAGTATGCTTGACAGGCAGCAGTAGCAGGCCCCACCCATCCTTATTATTCTGATTAGAAAGCAATACTGGTGCAGGCACTTACTATATGGTGCATTTGTTATGAATGCTAAGGGAATAACAATAGAACCTCAAAACCCAAATATGAAAACATTCCAGCTTACTCACAGGCAGGAGTGTGTTAAACACAATACAGAAAATTAGAGATACTCCCAGAGATCTTCTACTAGCTCAGTGGATTGCTCAGCCCCAGGTTGGGTCATTATTATAGTGCTGTAATGGCATATGCAACCTTCCCTCAGTTTTATTGCTACAGGCTCAGTTGCAAAGACCTCAGAGATTTCCACCAGCTGAAACAAGTACACAATTTAGAAATATATTTTTCACAGATGCACATGCTACTCTCCTTTTCAGAAGATAGCAATTACAGGAGGATAAATTATAGTATTTTGCATGTAATTTTAGTATATATGAGACTGACATGAAAATGAAATTCCATTAGCTTCCTCCTCCCCCCAAACAGAAAATAAATCTAAATCTTAATAAGTAGTTACAGTAGTATGTAAACTTGAGACTAATGAATCTATCTCAAGTATAAAATTTTTATATTCACGTGAATTTCCACATGGTATTCACATGTTATCTTTGGGCTTTATTGCCACCTCACATTTGATTGCAACTGTGTCTATGAGAGAAACTACTTACTTTCCCTGTACACAACATGTTCTTTAAATAGCGATAAACTGCCTTGTCAAGCTGATTTGAGGGCACCACTGCAGCTGCTTTTCTTTTTTTTCCCCTCATTCTTCCTGTGCTTAAAGGATGACTTATGTATTCCATATGAAAGTCTGTTCAGTTCTTGGCAACTGGGAGAATAGGTACCTCATTATTTACTGGAACGAAACCAACAAATCCTAAAGACAGTCAAGACCTACATTTATCCTATCCAACATCAGGAGCTTAACTGAGGTGCTTAGTTTGGGAGATTAATCATCCCAGGTATACTTCTATCATCAAAGAGAAAAAGAAGCAAATCTAGAGGATGAATGCGTAGGATGAATCCATACCTTGGTTTTCAATATGAATTTTTCTCTCTTCTCTTCTGAAAAGGTTAAGTCCATTCAAGCCCTTAGAAAGCCTTCGGAAACTCCATTGCAGCCTTTGTACATGTAAAACAGCTGTAAAACTCTGAACCATAAAACAGGTCAACTTCAACAAAACAGTGTATTTCATCAACAGAAATATTTTTCTTGAATATGTTCTAGCAGCTATAACAGATGTATTAGTTTTTATATTTCCAAATTCAAGATGAGTACATTAAGTTGGTTTCTTTCCTTCTCATGCAATATCACTGGAAATGAAATCTGTTGGCCAAAATTATAATGTATTCTGCAACATTTAATGAAGCCAGAAGCATTTTCTCATGTTTTTCTTAACCAACCTCAGCAAACTTTATCACCAAATGATTTGTCATCTCTTAACAGATGAGGAGGAGAATGCTGGTGGCACTGGAGAAAACATGGCAGGGAGCAACACAGGAAATCAGCGTTTGTTCTTCATCACTTTTATTCTTACTTTGATCATCAGTTTGGCACTTGTTTCATTTGTAATATTCTTAATAAGTAAGTAAACCAAAGACTGGTTCTTAAAAATGTAGGGCCAATGGGAAAAGAACTTTGCTGATATGTGTCATGGCACCTTATGACATGCTACTGCTGTATTTGCATGGTCAAAGGCTTTGGCTGCTTATGGGCAGTGGGTCCTGATCCTGGGGGCAGAAGTACAGGCAAATAACTCTCTTTGATCTAAAAGGCACAATTTTATTCTTCAACAGCTGTGAAGAATTTAGATCAGGGGGGCTTATACTGTGTTGCTAAAAATGCTGACTGGAAATGAAATTGAAATTTAAAGGTGATTGTATGGCAGTGAGGTACTTTGACAATGTGCCTTTCACTGCTTTACAGATAAAACTCAGTATTGGTGTCATTCAACTGAAACTGGAATTACACTCAGAGTAACACTTAAATCAGGTTACCTGAAGGAGGACCTGAGGGTTGTCATCTAAGTACTGATTGGAAGTTTGTTTGGAACTAAGAAAATCTCAAAAATAAGAAAAAAAATTAGATAATATATATGAAGATTTGCACGTAGAATTGAACCTGTAGACATCATTACTGTTCCACTTTTTAGGACTGATCGGGTGGGTTTAGCGAAACACATGGCTGCAATGAATATGGTTTATGGAGCCCTTGTCATCATGGGCCTTTCTGAGTAATAGTATTGAACAGAATATGAGGTGCATTATTTTAATTTGGAAGTCTATTTTGTATGAATTGGAATCCATGCAAAATCAAGATTTCTTATATCCTGTAGTGGGGAATTTACTGGAACATAGCAAAAATCTTTATTTTCCTTTTTGAACAGGAAATTCTAATGCTAACTAAATTTTCATACAGGCACTAAAAGAATGGAATATAAGACAAGTAAAAAACGCAAAGTAGATTTTAAGTGACATGATTGTAAAATCCTAACTGAAATACCTTATACTTGAATTTCAGATTTATTTAATAGGGAGCTGCCTGAAGTAGAGCCCTTGTATAGAAAAATGAGTAATGTGCTACTCTAGTAAAAGAATGATAAAGTAATTGTGAAAAGCCTTCTTACAGGAATTAAAGCACTTTGCTTGGGCTCAGGTTGGTGGAGGCCTGTGGTTTTTGAAACTGATTTCCAGTGGTGTTTCAGTTTATATATGTTATGTTGTATAATCTGAGATTATATTTGCAATCCACATACATGCATTCATTTAGCATTGACACTATTAGACTTAAGCTTCAAAACCCATGGGTAAATTCTGTTAACTTCAGAAGGCCAAAACAAAAATAGTTCTCGCACATTTGTTTGCTAGAGGAGGCTGGCCTACAAATGACAATCCTGGGGAAACTAATGGAATAGATATGCTCCTGAGGACTGCAGAATTATCTGAGCCATAGTATATTTTATTACACTGCACTAAAGTGAAAAAAAAACCAAAACAGAAAATAAACAATTAAAGAATGCAGTGAGCAGGTAAACCTACCAAATGTATAACTTCTTATCATTAGGTTCTGCAATTGTTTTCCTGGTTAATATTTTTGTTCATCATAATTCCCTACAAACTCTCACAGGAATGCAAGTGAGGGTAGTGATGCTCTTGATTTAAATGTTGCTAATTTAATGTGGTACATTTTCCTTTTCAAGTTCAAACTAGAAACAAGATGGACCAAATATCAAGCAGACTACTATCTGAAAAGAAGAACATAGAAGATCTGAAGAAAATTAACAGTATTTTATTAAAGCATCTAAATCAATCAGGAATTAAGGATAAGTCTTCCAATCTTCATGATTACCTATTAACCCATGCTGAACTCAAAGTCCCTGGAGAATAGATCTTCTTTGGAATGAAATTTAGCATATTCATGACTCAGATATTTTTACATATGTCACACAGGTTGCTTAAACATTATGATATGGTCACCGGAGCATTGGAAAAGCCAACTGAATGAAAAATATTAGAAAATAATATTTTATCCTGGTTTATTTGGACGTAGATTTTTAAAACTAAGCCCATAGGAGTCACAATAAACAACAGATTGTCAACAATTTGGGGCAAGAGTTCTGGATTCCTTGTGTATTGTAAATTGCAGGGGTAAGGGCCTAGTTTTACTTTAAATGTAAGTGAACAATTACAGAAAACCATGATTTCTATTCACATGATTCCAGCATGACCTTGTTCACTTAATCGTTCTCCTGTGTCTTTGGTACAAGTTTTGTGTTTATTTTTAATATTATTTGTATTTAAGGATAACTTCGGATTTAATAACTTATAAATAAATTCATTTCTGCCATAGAGCTCTGTGGTTTTCCTTTCTGTCCATTTAAATACACTGACTTACTACTCTTTTTGTGGAAAACCTCTAAACTGGAATAATAACAAACCCTTTCATAACATGCCATATTCAGCCCAAATTTGTATTGACTGAGTGGGTGTCCTATTGTCTTACATGAAAAATGGGTTTAGAGGACTCAGTCTGTTAATTTCATAACATCATCATAGCAAACCCATCTCATAGCAATGCTAATATGCTGTACTTGCAATCTGAGGGAAGTTTCTGGGTGAAGGCCAAGTGTTTTTATGAAGTTATGTGGGAAAAATGCTACATGTTCTTGTATTCTTCCCTATACTTGCTGTTGGCCACTATCAGGGAAGGGCCAGGTGAAATATGGTCGGAACCTTCATGGTTTTAAAGTGGAGCAATACCTCAGAGGGTGAAAGGAGCCGACACTTTCTCACTCTGAATTTACACAGTTCTGGAGACCAACATATGAAAGTGTGAACCCATAAGAGACTGGTGCTTTGTCATTTTAGTATTCAGAACCTGGTACTGGAACATACATTATGAAGGCACCTCCAATATCAATAAATAAATTGGTTACTCCCATCATGACGGTGTGATGGCAGCTGACACTATGGAATATGTCCAACATCTTTTCTTTTAGTTTGAGTTCTTCTTCTCATCCAATTCTTTCTTATCTCTTCTGGACAATTTTACAAAAAAAATCACCAAAGTCAACAGCTTGCACTGCAGTCTTCTTTTCCAGAATGACAGTCCTTTCTGTGATGACTATTTCATTGTCTACAACAGAGTGAAGAACTCAGTCCAGGAGACTTTCGTGGTATCACTCTACTTGGATTTGCCCAGCAATTCTTTTCCTTTTATTGGGAGGGCTTTGCTTTACACCTATGTTTTACATCATCTTCTCTCATTTTCCTGATGTATTACTGTCAAATTATTCACATGAAAACCATGAAGTTCCATTTTAAGAGTTTATTACTCCTGCTTTTAATTCCCAGTTGTAGTTGTAATTATCTCCTCTAGGTGCCTCAAATAGTTTTTATAAAGATGACTCAAATATAGCTATCAGGGAATGATAAAAATGATGTAGAAAAGTTGTAAGGAATATCCTTCTGTAAATGCTGTTAAATGACAAAAGAAACACTATCTTAAGACTAAAAACATGACACTTGTAGTGTTGCTTCTCTGTTCTTCTCTGAGCTGTCACCTGCTTTTTAGTGACAGTACTAAGTTCTCATCTCTCCCACTCACATTGTAGCTACTGCAACTGCTCTCGAGTTCCTGCCTTGTACAGAGGAATTGATAGAACATTCACCCCCCTCCACCCCTCTCTTTAAATCGTAGTATTCTTGTAAATCTGTCAGGAAAATAAGAACATTAACATGTAATGGACCAAATGTGCCTTTTGGCACAGATATGCACACATATCTGTACCTGTGAGCAGGGAGAAACAACTCCAGTATTTAGCACTCAGTGGCAATCTCAAACACATGGATTTCACCCTCATTTCCACTTCAGCTATCAGAGCGGTCGGTGTGGTCAAACAGAAACTGATACCAAGAGCCCATAGATTCTTTTTCTGGCAGGAGACTGTAAATAAAATGTGTCCTAGAGCAACAGCGCCCCAAGAAATGAAAGTTTCCTCATCTCTCTGATCTTGTCCTCAATTACTCTTAACATGGTTGTTCAAACAGTACTCATAATAAATCCACTTTTTCTGTCTCTGTTATTGATTAGAAGTGTTGGGGTTTTTTTCACTCCATGGTTTGATCCTCCAAGATGCTGAGTGCCCTCAACTGTGACCAGCTGGGGCATAACAATGTACAGGCATGCTCAGTATCATACAGGACTGACACCCCAGATCAACCTTTTCATATTTAATTGCTTCTTTGCTTGCAGTGATCAGCAACTGAGATCAGTGACTGAAAAAGTGCAAAGGTCCAAGGCTCATCCTGTTAGTGCTGCTGAAACACAGTTGTTGTTGGATACACTTGCAGTCAAGGAAGACATGGGGCAGCACTGCTTACAGCTGCTTATGGCTTCTCAGATCAAGTACCCCCTAAGCGGAAACAAGTAGTGGCTCCTTTAGGGGAACATTTCTTTCTAATCTACTGGCAGTGAAGTAGTCCCAAAGAAACCAATACTGGACCTTTAAAATCTTTTACAAACTTGACCCTGAAGTGAATTTCAGCTCATTCTAGAGCCCCATAATTCATCTTGAATAAACAGCTAAGTGACTAGTGAACTCCAAGCTCCAACTGCATAACCACTGTGCTGTATATGGATGTTACAATGTCTCCTGCAGACATGGCTGCACATCTCAAGAACCTTTGCCATGTCTGGCATTACAACCACAAACAGGAGGAAGACAATCTGACAGTAACAGCTTCATCTTACAATAGTCACAATTGTTGTCCTCGATAGTACTGCTTCTTTCCTTTTTCTCTTATTTGCAGCCTGTAGAGGTATCTACACAGAGTGATTTGCCTTTTAGTATTTCTCTTAGTCCACTGCAAATGAAAAGGGTGCACAGAGGGTTCAGATAGATTTGATAATGTGCCACTGACACTCATGTGCTGCAAGTACTATCACTCCTGAAATGACAACATGGTTTCAGGAAATTTTCTGCTGAATAAACCTGGACAATAGTAGAGAAAAGCTGGTAAGCAAAGATAAACACTTAGAAGACTTAACCAAGAAAATACCTCCAGCTTCCATCAAAGGCATCATCATGCCAGTCCCTGAAGTGTTGGCTGAATCTTTAGGTGGCTGGGTAGCATCAATAGACAAAATACTTTCTTCCCCTGGTTAGCTTGCTGAGAAATTCATTCCTTTGTTCCAGACATCCATAACAGTCCACGTTCTTGTTAACCTCAAACCATCAGACATTATCTGACTATGTGAAACTAAGTGTGGGGAGACTATACAGTACTAAATAGTAGAGGGTTGGCTAGTGCAGACATTTGCTTGCCTTCCTTGGGGTCATGTTACCTTAGATCTCAGCCTTGTGCTAGTGGGATTAAGAGGAACATTCTTTTCAATTAAGGAAAAAAAGGCACATTTGGTCCATTACATGTTAATGTTCTTATTTTCCTGACAGATTAACAAGAATACTACGATTTAAAGAGAGGGGTGGAGGGGGGCTGAATGTTCTATCAATTCCTCTGAGATTCATGAGAAATAGTAACACTAAGGCCAAAGAAGTTAGTCCTATTCAAGAACTCAATCAATCTTAGAATTCAAGAAAAGGCTTTTACAGACTCTGTTTCCGATCCTTTTTCTGGTTTCTGGGCCACACTTCAGCAATCGAAATGCTATCCACGATTCACTGACGAGCCAGCAAAACCTCTGAATGGTAATGAGAACCTTCTAGTAGAAACACTCACAGCACAGTGCTGCTGCTAATTTATCACTTTGAGGCAAACCACATTACACACAACGGTGAAAAGACAATTTAAAAATCGATTGCCTGACAATTTGAATATCTATTAATAATTATGGGTTTGCTTTTTGAGCTCTGCACTGCTCATTTAATCTTAATATCTTCTTCACCACATAACCGACTTTAGAAAACAGTGTTTGTCTACAAGGTGATATAAAATGTTTAAACTCACAGACACCCTTTGCTCTTATGCAAAAGCTCATGGATAATTCATTAACTTCCCATTTTTAGGGTGTTCTTTTTTAAAACCTTTAGTTTTTTTCTTAAAGCAACACTGAAGTATTTTCTTCAGAAGACTTCTCCCTGAGTACTCAAAATTATATGGGTGGATATTCACCAGGAGCTGTAGTGATAGGATGTTCTGGGTTACACAGAAATTCTGGTATCCACCTTTTCTTTTCTCCAAATACGCCTTTTTGGTGTTTTGGTGCTTTGCCGCCTTTAGAGAGACTGAATGCTAGTGATTAATGACTCAAACTTTGGACCACCTGCAGTGACAGCCCATGGGCTGTAAGAGACTGGGCTATTGGTGCTGATGGCTCAATCAATGCGCAGAGTGGACACCAGGCCAGGGGCTGCAGATGTGCACATTCAATACCTCAGGCAACAAGCTGGGTGTTAAACAAGGTAAGGAAAGGGGCAAACCCTGCAAGATGGGGTAGTGTTTCTTTTTTCTTACACAGATGATTCAGCTGTGATAATTCCCTGGGACATTCACACTAAGCCTGAAGGTTCACGATAATTTAGATGAGGGGATTCAGTCCATCATCAGCAAATTTGCAGATGACACCAAGCTGGGGGGGAGTGTCGATCAGCTGGAAGGTAGAAGGGCTCTGCAGAGGGACCTGCATAGGCTGGAGAGTTGGGCTGATTCCAATGGGATGAGGTTCAACAAGGCCAAGTGTCGGGTCCTGCACTTTGGTTACAACAACCCCCTGCAGTGCTACAGGCTGGGGACAGAGTGGCTGGAGAGCAGCCAGGCAGAAAAAGGACCTGGGAGTCTGGATGGACAGGAAGCTGAAAATGAGCACAGCAGTGTGCCCAGGTGGCCAAGAAGGCCAATGGCATTCTGGCCTGGATCAGGAACAGTGTGGCCAGCAGGTCCAGGGAAGTGGTTCTTCCCCTGTACTCAGTGCTGGTGAGGCCACACCTCGAGTTCTGTGTCCAGTTCTGGGCCCCTCAGCTCAGGAAGGATATTGAGGTGCTGGAGCAGGTCCAAAGAAGAGCAACAAGGCTGGTGAAGGGACTGGAGCTATGAGGAGAGGCTGAGGGAACTGGGGTTGTCCAGCCTGGAGAAGAGGAGG